AKSWYTTMAATAATTTGTGCATTCTATGTACTTATTGACCGAGTGGAATGGCCATATGTGAAAATAATTCTCATGCTGAATGGACCAAGCACAGCATTTTGCAAAAATTTTCTAAGATGGGAAGTAGGGGCAAATACAATTTATTATTATGATAAATGTACTTACTAGTGTCGGAATTCTATAGTTTTGCTCTCTGAATTATAGTTCAATAACACACATCTTCTGATATCACCAAGGTTGACCTGTTATAGTAATGAAAATAATTTGTTTATGATACATAAACTACATGTACAAAAAAATAACATTCATTGTTTTGGGGAATGTAACATTAACACAAGTTAATGTACAGAAAGCTTTGATATATTTTCTATTTACTGATAATGATCAATAATGATTAATATTAATTAATAATCAATAATAATTAAATATATACATACCTTTTGGATGTTTATGGAAGGAAAAAGATTTTGAAACATTGTAGTCATTAGCTTCATTGGAAGTGTTTCTGTATTGAAACCATTCAGGACAAGCTAGTAAGTAAGACACAAAAAACATCAATTATTATTTCAAAAAGATGATTGTAGGCTGGATTTAACTTTCATAGTGTACTTTTGCTGCATCAACCTTGATGTTTAATAAAATAGAACCTAGTTTTCGACCTACGCAGTCATCAATTATTATGTTACTAAGTTGTTTCAGAAAATGTTAACTTAAATACTGAAGATACTGTAATCCAAGACCACGATGCAACTTCCTGACATATCACCTACCAAAGGTGGGTTCTTGAACTGACTACCAACAGTTTTAGGCCTTTTAACGAGTGAAATGACATCTTTAGCCAAAGCATACTGTGAACAACAAAATGATTGATTAGACAGTGCTGGAAGTAGAACTCAAATAACCTGGCTGGGTTTCCTTTGCCATAGGAAGACCACAGTCAAAAGTTTTAGTGCCAGGAGAGGAAGGTCTGTAACATATTCATGATTTTCTTTTATGCTTCTACTGTGTACCTTGACACAGCGTAATGTTTTGTATGTGGCACATGCCCTGATGCAACGGTTATCCACTGTCATTTTTTATTTAAAGGAAATCTCTCAAAATAGGAACATTACCTCATTTATCTTGAAAGTTAGAGTGGGTCCTCTTGGTAGACGTGCCATTCTCTTAACAAAATTAAAAATGAAAATTACAACACTGTCAACTACATTTCCACACAATTGGATTGTCCATCCAACATCATCATTCTGTTCTTCATCCTGTTTGGTCATCATAGGCTTATTCTGAGATAGTAGTTTACATTGCATTGTGGTCTAGATAGATTAGGTACAAACGTCTTTTGTTCATGTATCCAAATATGGCATTGTTTGTACTGAAGCTAGACCATAATGCACCATGATTTTGTATTTCAGAAATGCAATATAAGACGTCTATTGTCTTACCAAGTAGGTTCCCACTTCAGTTTTTGACAGAATCARGAAGTGGGTGACTCCAAGAGGTCCTGCCACATGAACAAAGTCTTTAAGCACGTTATTCTTCCTGACCTACAAAATGAATTAAAACAGGGAAGTGACACAACAGAAATTTTTCATGCTGGCTCTTTTGTGAACGACACACACTTCAATGGATTTATAAATGATATTCATAAAGTGACGGTGTATATTCAAAAGTTTGACCAAAATGGGCTCCTGTTTTTGGGTTTTTGATATTCATGTACATTAGATTGGAAATTCCACTTGATTGATAGGGACAGATGTAAATTTAGAAATATAAATTTAGATATTACATGTAAGTCATCCATTTTATAACACATATGGTATGTGTATAACTCGGTTACTATAGCTACTCATGCATTCATATCATGACAAGTGCAATATTGGATCCAGATTAAGTATAATCTGGACACAAATGTTGACAATTTGTACGAACGCGCGACATTTTTCACACTATTTGTTGATAAAACCTTTCTCGTTCCCTCCCCCTTCCCCCTAATACAATGTTGTGTGGCTTTCTTTTCATTTGCTGTCCGTTCATTACCCCCTGCATACAACATTGATGTTGGAGGGAGGGGAGGGAAGGGGAATATTTTCAGTTGATGCACATGACACAGTATTTGTAATGCCCAAGTGAAAAATTGTCAAGTATTTATGTCCAAGATTGTYGGTGCCCCAATAAACACCCCCTGGATATCCCACTGAATATTAACCCACAGCTGAACATATGTCTGCATATAAAGTCTTATAAAATCTGTATATTAGACATGCACATGTAAGCTTATGTTACAGTAACGCACCTTRAGATTTCGTGCCGTGTACGGCTCCATCACAAGCCGTAAATCATTTTCCAAACTCATAACAGATTTYCCYACGATCCCTCTATGCATAACAAAAGTATGAGGCACWGCTGGTCCTTCTTCAGCTTGATTAGCAACCTTCTTCTTCTAGAAAACACAAGGAGAAACTCAATCATGATGCCGGAAAGTGCATCAAAGTTTTCCTCTCGAAAGCAAGCAAAGTTCCCGCAATTACATTTCGATTTAGTTACCAATTCTATGAAAAAACATTACACTYACCTTTCGCCGTTTTCCCATAATTGTTTAGAGCGTAATAGGAAGGAAAATAAGCCCMAAASACAGYGAAAAACAACAACAACTCAACAACAGCTGAAATTTTTACACCACGTGAAATAACMYCTGCCAGGCGTTCCTTGTAAGTGTATTTCCAGTCTCRCTCGATACAGGAATCCCGTAAAAACGCGCGCATTCGGCGAAATGTCGTCTGATGATAGAAAACATGAGGAAGAACTTAGTAAAACTGCGGTTAAAAGAAAGTATTTGTTAACAGACGAGGACTTGGAAGATGTGGACTATGAGATGAGGGACAATCCTCTTAATAAGTCTTACGGTTTGTATTAAATCTCTTCATTATCACTCGGGCTTCTGCAGACAGTGTATCTCATCCGATCATAGTAGTTTTGTAAGGCAACGCTAACGGTTCTTTCTAAATACTAGCTCCCATGAAAGTTTTCAAGCAGTGTGAGGTTGAAAAGACTGCCATTGCAAAATGGGGAAGTTTTGAAAAACTTGACGAAGAGCAGCAGGCGCGCAAAAAAAGGCAGTCCAGTCAAGTGAAGAAAAAAGAGAAAGAAATGAGAAAATTGTGGGATTGTGAGGAAATACATGAGCCAATGAAATTGTTTATGGATAAAATTGAGCTTCCAAAGARAAAGGATACTCTCAAAGACAAGGGTGAATATAATTTGTTCTTTTGTTTATTTTTAAACATTCAGATTGCAACTATGATCTCTATTCAGTCATGCTTTGATTTTATTCATTCATTTCATTCATTTATTCAGAAAACCATCCATGCATGCATTCACTCATTCATTCATCCATCCTCTTGTTGATCCATCTATCCATTAATTTTTTCATTTCATTCAGACATACAAATCCATCTTCTGTSCATATTTCTTTTAGACAATAACAACAAAAATTTGCTCAATCATGATGTCATTCTGTGCTACTGTGACTGTATGCATAGCAGACCCCCTGGAGGTGAGTATATAGTACCAAATTTTGATTAATGGCTTCCTTTTCTATAATGCCATATCAGTTTCATAATTATGACAATCCTTGGCTAAAAGTTATATTAATTTATAATATTTAATCATTAACTTTACAGCTATGGGGAAATCCATTTACAAAATGTTTCCGTCAGCATCGAAGGTTGATAAAAGCACCCCATACAATGACAGAAGAAAGTTGGGACATTATTCCTGGACRATTGACAAGAATCAACTCATTGTTAACTTGTATGTTGTGCACAAGGTAAAAGAAACCAGAAGTTCCTGGAAATTTCAAATGGACAGGCCCATGCGGTAAACATGAAAATATGCATCCTTTGGGAATAACACCTTTAGATATTTAGTGGCGCTGGCATGGGTTACCATATGGGGACTATACTGGGGAATTGGAGACTCTCAAATGTCAGAGAGAATCCAAAGTGTATAGTATACATGTGATCTCCAATTTGCTTCAATGATCCTGATCCTAGCCTGTGCGTAATGGCTCTAGGGGAGGGGGAAGGAAAGAAACAGAACGGGAGGGAGGGAGGGTGAGGAGGTGGATTTTCCTGTCCTTCCCAAATCCTCCTACCCTACCCTACCCTACCCTACCCTAGAGCAGCTACGCAGGCTATCCTGATCTCAGTGACTGAGATCCCTATGTCCTCACCCTTATTCCAAAAAATAACAGACATCACCATCATTGCTATAAATGATGCCATCATTCAAGTTGTTTGTTCTTTGCAGTGGAGCTTCAAATCCAAATCAGCAGCCGATTTTCCAATTTTTAACTCCGATGCCTTATCTCTTGCATTAAAAAGGCTCTCAGCTGCTCTGTTAAATGAATGGAGGAATCACTCTGATGAGGAATTTAATCTTTGTGTGGGAACCTATGTCCCTTATCRTGAAGATCCTGAACAATGTAAGATATTCACATTTACTTTGAAGGTCCACTTGCATGGAACATTTATTTGTGATCATTTTAGGTTCTTGGATGCATGTGGATTCTTAAAGATTGGTATAAATCATCTTTTTTTGAGAGTCGATGAGTGTAACTGTTGGTAAAGARAATGCTCACAGCAAGAAATACTCCAATAAACCTAATGTTTTTTACCCATTTATTATATTAGAGAGGAGCAATTTAKGGAGGAAAAAGTCAAAAGAGTACATCARTTTTCACTCCTCTGATGAGCAGTACACTCCTTTGGATGTCAGCATCAGTTAATAATAATCAAATTTTCATACTTTTCCACAGTCAAGAAGACAGTTGAAGAAAGCTTTGAACTTCCACACAACATAGTCAGTTATGAAGATTACAAGTCCCAAACAGAATAAATGCTCTGTTTAAAGACAAGTTGTTTTATCTTTTATCGTATTTGTGTTTAAAATAACCAATATTATAATTTCAATGATAAAGATTGTCCTGCCATTTTTTGTGTGCTATGTTGTTTCCAATGTACAATGTAGTTGAACAAATTTAAACAAGGCTAGCATGAATTGCAGCACGGTATATGTATCCTTGTTTACCGCTTTCTCCCTTACTGTAATGTATCTTCTCTATTACTAAAGATAATCAAATGTACATGATAAATAAATCAATGTTTATTGATATATTTTGATACAAATTAAAATGAAAACAACTTCAAATGAAAACAAATTAACACTATTTCACACATTTTTCAATATCGATAAACAAAACTTAAGTTGTCACAGTAGAGAACCRAAAGCYATAACATCACTTAACAGATTTTTAAAAATAAGTATTCTRAAATGACATCATTTTCAATACAACCTACAGCCAAGTTTCAGTGCCTTAGTGCCATTTTATAATTATTATAGCACAGATATTAGCACTTTTGTTGTATGATGATGACATACAAACCYTTGTCAATTTGTTCTAGTCCATGATGGAAAAATTCACAAGGTTTTTAAGTGATCATCAAACCATATAAAAGCCCTTTTATCTCCACTATAAATCTCAGTGGACTTTGATTTGATATGCAACCAATAGTTCTACACCTTCTAGGTCATAAGAACACTAAATTTGATTGGTTATT